TGGGATCTTGGTGCAAGCCTTGGTGATCATTAATCTCACATCTTTTTTACTCCTAAACCAGTATCACATGGGTGATAATACCCAGTTTTCCTACCCAAGTATTAACCAGGTCAGACCCGGCTTAACTCCCCAAATGAGATGAGATCAGAAACATTCAGGGTGTGGTCATAGACCATAGTGCCAAGTTCTATAGCCAGCATAAGATGTAGCCTGTCCCCCCTTGAACCACAGTGGTGGTTCCTTTGTATGTTTAGGTGGTTGGTTTTGAGCAGGGAACTGCTCAGTGACATTCACAGTTTAGGTTCTCATTGATCTTCACAAGATGGCACCTCAGTGGGAAGGCCTTGCCCGTAACACCTTCCCTATTGTCCCAGAGTGGAGCAGAAGGGTTCTCTTCAAGGATGCTAACTTCTAACAGTCTCACCTGAGAGCACTTGACTAGTCTGTAACTTTGAACTTCCCCTTTAAGGAGGACATTTTCCAGCCTTGTGTACCACTTGCTTTCTCTAACTGCAGACTTGGATGAGAGCAGTAAGCAGTAACCAGGATGTGGCCTGAAGGCTCTCCTGGGTTGAGATTTCCTCTGCCAAATTAGTCCATGACTTTGAATTCCACCCTGTTCAAGTTCTCAGGACACGGCAGGATGAAATCACATTCTTTGTCAGAATATAACATGAATGACTCCTAGGCCAGTTCTTGACAGAGCCCCTGTTTCCCTACGAAACTTCATAACCTCTGATTTCTGCATTTATCGTATCTTCTGCCAGAATGGTGGCCTCTGCTTACAGTATTCTAAAGCGTCTCAAGCCTCAAGTCCAGACTGTTCCACATTTCTCCTGCAGAGCATGTGACCAGGCTTAGCACAGCTGCAGGTCCACTCCTAGGTCCCAATGTTCTTATTACTTTTTTTTTTTTGTTGCTGTGTCAAAATACCTGACCAATGTAACTTAAGGAAGTTTTTTTTGGGGGGGGGATGATTTGAAGGATACAGAAGGTACAGCATCAGAAGCATGGGCCCCAATGTATCTGTAGTCAGGAAACTGAGAGAACTAAGTACTGATTGTAGTACTGATTGTAGTCAGAAAACCAAGAGAACTAAGTACTGATTGCTGACTATGGCTGTTTGAATGAAAATGGCTCCCATAGACTAGACTCATAGGGAGGGGCATTATAGGAGGTGTGGCCTTGTTGTAGGAAGTGTGTCACAGTGGGTGGGCTTTGAGGTTTCAGAAGCTCAAGCCAGGACCAGTGTCACTCTCTCTTCCTGCTGTCTTCGGATCCAGATGTGGAACTCTCAAGTTCCTCTCCAGCACCATGTCTGCCTGTGTGATGTCACTCTTCCTGCTGTGATGACAATGGTCTAAACCTCTGAACCGCAAGCCAGTCCCAATTTAACACTTTCCCCCTCTTGTATCCACAACACCAGTCAAAGGAATGGTTCTGCTCATATTTAGGGTGACCCTTTCTCTTCAGTTGACACAATCTAGGTAATCTTTCATAGACACATCCAGAAGTTTGTTCCCTAGGTGATTCTAGATCCTGCCACACTGACAATATTAACCAACACATAGCCCTCGCTTATGCCGCATTTTCCCGTGGGCATCCAAGTGTAATGTTTATTATGGCCAGGATGGACTTGTCTCTGCCTTTCCATTCCCCCACCAAAGGGTCAGGCAGAGGATCAAATGAGATGAACAGAGAGTGGGAGGGAGGGAGGGAGAGAGAGAGAGAGAGAGAGAGAGAGAGAAGCCTCATAGGCACCAGGCACTCAGTAACCTCTGAACGAGGCACACCAGGAGGTTGCCACTGTTGAAAACCTTGCCCAGGCACCGAGAAGAAAGAGTATGGGCTGGAAAGGAAGACATTTGGAATCCATGTCCACAATAGCTATAACCACTTACACAGAAACCCAAGAGGAATCAAAGGGAAATTAATTAGAATGAATCAGGACCACCATCTGAAAGGAGCCAAGCCTCAGGGTACCCACAAACCAGAAGCAAGATCAGCAAGGAGCCAGAGACTGGTGCTGGGAACAGAGCCTTCCAACAGCAGCCACAGACAACTGAACCAGGGCTCCAGCTGCCCCTCCCCCACCCACCCACTTTCCTGCAGGTGCCTGGGGAGCTGTTCCTAATGGGAGGCAGCTGTAGACTCTCCAGGTCCCAAGCCCATTCTCCAACAAATGGATATGCCCGTCAACTCCGAGAGCACATGATTTCCCCAGAATCCGATAGACTCTTTCAGAGATTCATATTGATGAAAATATGCTTGGGAACGGCCACGGGAGTGGGGAGAAAAGACGGGGTAAGGATTCATCTTGTCCACAGTCAGCACATATTTAGAGCTGTGGTGGTAGCCTGCAGAGGCTGGCACCCCAAAACACAAACACAGCAGAGCACCATTGGTGTAATGGCTTCTGGTATTGAGAAGTGAGCCAGGGGCAGGAAGCAGTCAGCCTGCCCACTGGATCCAGGGTGGCACCACGGGGTCCATCCTGAGGGCCACGGTGTGTGACGACCACAGCACTGCGGCCAGGTGGACGAGGATCTTCTGGCAGACGGGGACGTAGGTGCTGAGACAGGGCACGGCTAATTCACTGAACCTCGCTGCTTATTCAGTCCCAGGACTTGTTTTGTCTGGCTGCTGCTCCCTGCCCTTGGCGGGGTCAGTGGTTGAGTTCAGATTCTTGGCTCCAGAGCTGGGGCTCCTAAAGCTGCCCTTGGATAGGACGGAACCAGATTAGACCTCCTTTATAGCCTCCAGCCAAGGAGTAGATTGGAAGACAATGTAGAGAAATGCTAGCATCGGAAACGCCTTTTATTTAATATACACCCCGCCACCTCCCCCCCCCCCCGTCTCAAAGGCATAGAGAAACTGACTCCTAATCTCTTCTGTGCGGGGACGACACTGTCCACAAGAGAAGGGACAAACGACTGACACAAAGACACCTGGCTGACCACACAGCCACAGAAAATGAGAAGCAACCTAACAGAAAGTGACAGGCAGGCTGGGTGGGTGGCTGTCCAAAGATGAGCAAAGAATTCAATAAAGAAATGAAATGAAGAGATAGTCTGCCTCCTAAGCGATGGGAAAATTACAGAACAGCAAGACATAGCTGGCAGATAGCATGGTGGGAAGCCTGGGTTTGAAGGCATGTTGGCATCATCACCAAGAGCCATGAATCCTGATGTGGCAGGGGGTCCCCTTTACCCTGGACTATCATGGAGACATCCTCACCCTATTCCAGAGGAGGCTTGGGCATTGATTATTTTTTTTTTTAAATCGCAGTTTTATTTACAAGATGTAAGGCTGCAGAGACTTGGCTAGAATAACCCAGGAGTAGCTAGCAGCTCTGTCCCAGGCCACTCTGAACTCACAGCTCCCCAGAAGCCCCCACGAGTCTGCCAAGGATACATTGCTGCAAGCACACAGGTCTCTTAATGGGAGTCCATTAAAAACCAACCAATCAACCAAACAACAACAAAAACTAGGCACAGGAGAGATGACTCAGAAGGTAAGGACACTTGCCACCAAGCCCGACAGCCTCCTCCTCAACACACAGATACACATATATAGTTCTTGCTGCGTGTGGCAGTGCACACCTTTAATCCCAGCATTCAGGAGGCAGAGGCACGCAGGTATTTATGAGTTTGAGGCCATCCTGGTCTACAGAGTGAGTTCCAGACCAACCAGAATTACACAGTAAGACACTGTGTCAACAGCAAAAACAAAAGCTAGACATAGCTGCTTTTTGAAGAATCTCAAGAGAGAAAGGACCTTCTTGGATTCCCAGTTTGAATGTAATGCAGAGACTATTCCCTTGTCTGGCAATCACTCCCGCAGTTCCATGAACCACACGGTGGGGTCATTGGTAGTGCCTGATCTCATTGATAAACACTTCTCCCCACTCTGCCAGCCAGAGCGGTAGTTCCTGGTGCCTCTCTGGCCTCAGGTGGGCCCCAGTGGGAGGCAAGGACTGCTCCACAGGACTAGTACATGAAGCCAGGGGGAAATGTTCTCCCTGCAAGATTCCTTTTAAGAATCTAAAGTGCTCAGTGCTCAAACTATCCCAAGAGCTTGAATGGGACCATCATCTGTGGGTGGAGTGTTTCCTCTGCTGGTATTCCTTCTTTCTCTGTTCACACTGGCGTCACTGTCAAGGAGCCTGCAGATTGGCAAACGACAGTGAGGCTGAGTGGGCACATCTGTATGCATACAGAGACACATGCACGCATGTGCAGTGGTGTGCATGAAATGCACATGCATGTTCTTGCTTGTGCAATGTGCACAGGTGTCTGCACATGGGTACATGCACACATGTGGGTATGTGTGCATGTGAATATGTACATTTTTGTGTGCACTCCCACATGTGTGTTGCACATGGACAGATTTATATTTGTGTGGGCATACGAATACGCAAGGACAGGCAGACATGCATGCTTGTATGTGTCTGGCTATGCATCTGCATGTGTGTGCACATGGGCATAGGTGTGCTTGTGTGTTTATGCATGTATGTCTGCACACACCTCAGCAGTCCCAGCGAGCATCTGAGAGAGTCGGGAAAGCAACCCTGCAGTGTCACTGTGGCGGGGACAGCTGAGTGCCGGGCTTGGTGCCCAATGAGTGGGAAGCGGCAGAAGCTCTCTGCTGACCATGGCAGAAAGTCTAGCTGCTTCCTGTGCACGGTTAAAATGCCAGAGCTGCTGGAGCCGTTAGGCTGTGGGGGTAGGCAGCTGTCCCTAGGGGAGGGGCTTGGTGTCCACGTCAGCCATGGCTGCTCTCTGACAGCTCCTGAGGCACACGCCTCACCCCAGAGTGGAAGCTCAGGGTTCTCAGATGAGCTGCACAGAGGCTGGAGATTCATTTGAAGTGGCACGTGGAGGCCGCTTTTTGCATCAACCTGAAGGAAGACACACAGGCCTTGTGTGGGCCTAGGAACCGTCATTGCCCCACTCCTGCATCGAGGCTGTGGGAAAGGCAGAGGTCATGAGTAGGCTAAGGATACGTGTTGATCATTTACTTGGAGGGGTGTGCACATGTCATGGCACTCATATGAAGGTCAGAGGACATCTCTGTGGAGTCTTTTCTCTTTCTGCCATGGGGGTTCAGGGATTGAACTCAGGTTGTTGGATGTCCTGGTAAGTTTTATGTCAACCTGACATGCTAGTTATTTGGGATGAGGGACTCTCAATCAAGAAAATGCCTTCACTAGATAGGTCTGCAGGGCATTTTCATGATTGGTGCTTATGTGAAAAGGCTCAGGTCGCTATGGGAGGCGCCACCAATGGATGCTATAAGAGAGCAAGCCGATCAAGCCACAGGAGCAGGCAGCATTCCCCAATAGCTTCTGCTTCACTTCTTGCCTCCAGGTTCTCGGTCTTCTTGAGTTCTCGTCCTGACTTCCCTCAGTGACGCACTGTTACCTGGAAGTGTAAAATGAATTAAAAGTTCCTTTCGGTCTTTGTGTTTCATCACAGCAACAGAAACCCTAGCCGAGCTAAGACACTGGACTTGGCGGCAAATGCCATCTCACCAAAGGGAGATTCAAAGGGAAGGGAACCCCAGAGAGCAAGGTCTGTTTAACCATGCCCAGGCTCTTCCTTGTTCTCGCTGGTTCTAGCTGCGCCTGGGAAGCTGGCTGCCCTTGAGAATGTGGCCTTGTGTGTCTAGAGAGATCAAGAAGACCTAAAGGAGCAGTTGCAAAAGGCAGCAAGCTCGTATGATCTAACTCTACCAAATAAAAGTCTAAATTAGGTGGGCATTTTTTTTTTGACAGGGTCTATGTAGCCCTGGCTGTCCTAGAGTTCACTATGTAGACCAGGCTGGCCTTGAGCTCACAGAAATCCACCTGCTTCTACCTCTCTGGTGCTGGGATTAAAGGCATGGGCTTCTAAATGCCTTGCTTCTAAACTAGTTTTTGAAGATCCCGTCCCCTCTACAATTGGTAAAACTTGTGACGTCAGAATATGTGGGAAGGGCTGTGTGGGTCAAGCCTTCCTGTCCAGAAGCCAGTTGTTTCTACATCTGAGTTTGTTATCTCAGCCACTGTGCCCTGGGTTCTGGTAGGATGAAGTTGGTCCTACCTCCAGGGGATCACATGGTAAAAGCCTTAATGATGTTTGAATCCTTCTGCCTGACAATTCCACTCTGAAGAATTCATGTCACAGGAGTAAGTAGACAGATGTTGTGTCCTCTATGTTTTCCCACAGAGCTGCTTAAAATAACACTGCCCAGATGCCAGGAGGAATGAGGAGACGCTGCCATAGCCCTGTGACCACCACTGCTAACCTGTACTGTCACTACCAAGTCTCAAGGCAGACACTGTCTCCAACCCTACATGCTGATGTGATTGTCAAGGCTCACACAGCTACTGAGACTGGTGAAGAATCAGCTGGCTGCAGCTCCCAGAGTCCTCCAGGCCCCTCTGCTCCCCCTGCTCCTGGTGATACCCATCGTGTCCAAACCTAAAACCAGAACGCTCTAATGCTACCTTACATGAAGCCATCCTCCCGATTCATTTCCCCTGCTTTCCTGTTTTAGGGACAGCTATAGGCCCCTCCTGAGGAGGACCTGTCCAGCCCAGGGGCCCCACCCAGGAAACTCCTCCCTTGGCCACTTCTGTTCCCCCCCCCCATTTTTTTAAAGACAGGGTTTCTCTGTAGCTTTGGAGCCTGTCCTGGAACTAGCTCTTGTAGACCAGGCTGGCCTCGAACTCACAGAGATCTGCATGCCTCTGCCTCCCGAGTGCTGGGATTAAAGGCGTGCGCCACCACTGCCCAGCCGTCCCTTTCTTTTTTAAATATATATTTATTATTTTTAAAATTAAATAGAGCCATCATTTCCTCCTTTTACTCCTTCTCATCCTTTTCATGGGTACTTTCACTCCCTTTCGGATTCATGACCTCTCTAAGTTGTTATTGTTACATGTATGTATAAATGATGAATATATAAATATTGCCATATTTATATATGCTGAGACTTTAGTATTGCTTGTATGTATGTGAATTTGGGGCTGACCACCTGATAGTGGATAACCAATGAGAGTGCTCATCCCTGGGGCTGAATACTTTTCCCTCTCCTTAGCTGTTTGTAGTTCTGTCTTGGGGCGGAGGGCACGAGAGTTCCCCCTTGCACGAAAGCCTGTCTATCGGTGATGTCATCGATTCAGGTCCTGAATGACACTCAGCCATATCGTGTCCTCTTCCTTTCGAGACAGGGTCTCCCTATGCTGTTAAGCTAGTCTCCAGCTCACTGGCTCCAGCAAGCTTCCTGCCTCAGCCTCCTCTCCTTCCTCATCCTTCTCCCATTTTCTTGTGATGTGTGTCTTTTACCTGCATGTCTATGTACCATGTGTGTGCCTGGTACTTGTGGAGGCCAGAAGGATATCAGGCCCATTGCGATTAGAGTTGAAGGTAGTTGTGAGCCACCATGTGAGTGCTGGGAATCAAACACAGGGTTTAGTTTTTTTTTTTTTTTCTGGAAGAGCAAGTACTCTTAACCCCTGAGCCATCTTTCTAGCCCCTCTGTCTTCTCAAACTGAACACTGTCTTCATTCCCTGAGCCAGTCCAACTCTTACGTTCAGCACTGGGGGTGCCTTTGCTCCCCTTCCCACTGTTTCCCACACTCATGGTTTGATCTAGTTGGTGGGCTGCTCCTGGCCGCTTCTGGCTCTTACACACAGCCACAGTGGGTGTATACCAGGTACTTGACACACATAGTTGTGTGAGGTCATGTAGACTCTCAGCATATGTGTTTGGGGCCAGGGAGGCAACTCTTCTTCGGTCAGCACCCCTAATCTGTGTGTACTGTCCCATTTCAGAGAACTCCAGAATAGTTCAACGGGACAGAGGTGCCACCTTTGGTGGTTGGTAGCCCCTGCGACAAGATCTGGAAATCTCTCCACATCTCTGGAAACCAGGTTGCCACAGACCGGCTCAGGGGAGCCACTCAGACTGTGGGAGAAGCAGGGTCCTGGTAACAGGAAGGCACAAATTCGGCAAATGACAGACAGACACAACACACAAGAGAGTGGTTGGAATCTGCTGCGATTTTACTGAATTCATGTTTTCATTATATAGTATTCAAACTAAGAACAAATCAGAAGGTCATGTATCATTGGTTGGCACAGTATGAAAGCTTCTTTCAGTCACATCAGCAATATTTAAGAAAAGTATATTATCAGGAACAGGTGTTAGACATAAAGCATCCTTAGAAGAGGAAATCTTGTCCTTGGGAACGTAAACCTCAGACAAGTGGTTTCATCTTATGAATAGAAAGTTTCTGTCTCATTATCGCTATCATGGCCCTTCCTCTTCCTAACCCTTTATTTCATCTAGTGACCAAATATACCTAATCAGTTCTCTGCACCTGTTGAAATATACTTTTTAGTACCTTCTTATGCAGCAGACACTATGGGGGTTGGGATCTAGCAAGCCTAATCATAAAGTTTAGAGTATAATATAACAGTCTTTGTCCATCAACATTAACCCATCTAGTCCCTTGCTCATCATACACCCTGTGTATGACAAAGGTTCTGTTGTAGTCTTATACATTCCCATAGTGTGCTTCCCTATCTCAAAGCTGTTTCTGAAGAGAATGATCCTTGTCTTGTATATATAAAGACTACCATTATTATGAAAGAAATTGTGCAAAACTCATATCCCACATAGCCAGCTACTCGAGAATCCTGTCTGTGCCCCAAGGGCAGCTAATACCAGGCTATCTGCCATTGACCTCCAGGAAGCATAGTCCCATGGGACATGTAGCTCTCGTCCAGCATAATGACATATGTCATGTCACACAGACGACATTGGAGTTGGTGTGGCACCAGGTCAAGAAACGTCAGGGGTAAACACACCAAGATACTCTCTGAGATGAGTCATGACACGGGAACAGAGTTCTGTCTTGCCAGGACTGGCCAGGCAGCATCACTGGTAGCAGAAGCTAGTACTCTCACGTATGCTATGTAAGGACCTAAGCAATTGGCAGTGGAATCCTGGGGACCATTCTGTCCCCGGCTCCCACTCTGCCCTCCTGAGTCGCTGCCGAAGCTCAGTGCATTGGCATCCCTCAGCTTCAGGTACGGGGCTGTCTTGCTGGGCCTCTTGCCCGCCAGAGCTTCATGTGGGCCCTCACATCTCTTTCTCACGGGGCTTGGGTCACTTCCTGCTGACCTGGAGGCACCACTTCCTAACAACAGATCCAGAGGACTAGCCAGGCACGTACATTGGCTGGAGGCCAGGATCAAGTTCAGTGCCTTTAGTCTTCAGGGCCCAGAGGGTCTCAAGATGGCTGGGATCCAGGCTGTTCAGAACATACAGTTCCAGCTCTGGTGGGAAGTGCACTGGAATGGCAAGTGCAGAGAATTGTCTGGCTTTAAGACAGCCCGGGCGGTGGTGGCACACACCTTTAACCCCAGCCTTCACAAGGCAAAGGCAAGTGGACCTCTGTGAGTTCAAGGCTAGCCTGGTCTACAGAGTGAGTTCCAGGGCTACACAGAGAAAGAAACCACGACTCAAAAAACCAAGTGGGGAGTGGGGACAGCAATGTCATGGCCCCTCCCTCTGCCATAGTGCATGTCACCTGGGGCAGAAGAATCCTGAATCACAAAAGGGGTATGGCAGAAGAGGACAATGTCTAGTGACCCTGAGTTCACTGGGACCTGGGGCCACACAACAGGGGCCTTGAGGTGATGCCAGGGAGTATAGGGCTCAGGTATAGAGTTGCCATTGAAGGGATGAGAGCTTCTCTTTGGACCCCTACTTTTCAGCTATAAAGTCTGGGTGTCTGAGCCACAGTGGCACAGGGCTGGTAGATATGAGCTGGCAGATTCTGGGGGTGGAATGTCTCGAGACTCCAACTCTTTTGACAAAAGCACTGTGGCTCACATCTCCCAGCGCCTGTAAAACAGAGATACATCCAAGGCAGGGCTGCTCCACTCTACCTGAGTCCTGGTACAGGAGTCTGCCCACAGATTTCCCACCCCTAGGTCTCCGCTGAGGCCACTGTTACTGCCAGCCTCGGTATCACCCAGGCTCACCTCGTCTTGCTCCCCTGCCCTCCTCATGTTGCCTGCCCAACACCAGCCCTCCAGCCCTGGCCGCAGCTCCACCTGCAGCTTGGAGAGCAAATCTCGACAGGGATGGAGGCCAGGCTGAGATGGGGGCGGGACCGAGGATTTGTGGGCAGTGCCAGGTGGAGGATGCCACTAGTAATAGAGCTGAAGCCCAGACCTCAAGGCCACAGTGTTCATGCCAGACTGACTGCGCAGGGAGGGTGACAGAAAATCACGGAGATAAGTGGCAGAAGGTCCCAGAAAAGCAAGGGCACAGAAACCAGAGAGACCTCTTGGGGTTACTCTGCCTGACAGACACTCCTTGATTGACTCCAGAGAAGCCAGGGGGAGGGACAGGTGTTGTCTCCTTCCCAAGGACACTGTTTGCTTTCAGAGAATTTGCTCCAGCCACACATCTCCTCCCCTAGTACTTCTAGGAGTCTGCCTGGCCCTGGAAGCCCCAGCCGAAGACCTGTACCCTCACCCAAGACGGTCTTCAAAGACCAGCTGTCCCGCCTCTCATTTTACACTGGGGAAACTGAGTCCCCCATCAGCAGTGGCATCTCCTGTCTGCCTTTCTGTATGCTTGGAGACTAGCTGCACCCAGAGGACAAGGGGTGGGGAAGGGAGCAGGGAGGACCAGGACCAGGGCCATTGCCCTCAGTGTGCTGCTGTTGACCCTGGGTCCCTAGCCAGTGATGCACCCACGTGGTCACTTGGGTAGGTAAAGCTATGTACTCCTGCTGTCTAGAAGGGCTGACTCCCAGGTTGCTGTAAATCCTTCCTCACAGGGATCGACAGTCGGTAGCTGCAAATACGTGACCAGCAGACAACTACCATTGACCGATGTCTTCTGACAGCTCACACTCGCCCTCTTCCCACGGGCTTTGCTTGGAAGGGGCTGCCCTGGAGAATGCCTTTCTGTGTGGTGTACTTCTGGTCCCAGCGCCGCTGTTCTCATGTGAAGCCCCTTGTGGGAGGCATTGCATCCCTCCTCGTGCCTGTAACTGAGCGCTCTTTGCAAGGGGGTACGGGGGAAGGGCGCTCTCTGTACCTCACCTTATTCTCATTCCTCCCCTCCCCCGTGCCTGTACAGTCTGAATTCTGGACCTAGAAATGGCTGTGTTCAGGCACCCCTGTGGCTGGCGACAGCAGGCCGGTCTAAACAAACGCTCCTCCCCAAGAGCCTCTGTAGAGGCTCCTGAGGATGAGAGGCCTGGACAAGGAGGACGAACCAATAGGAGACCAGGGAATTCCCACAGAAAGGTGCTGACTCCCTTGGGGCGGAGTGCAGCAACCCGTACCTGGGGGTGCATCAGCAGTCGTCAAATTCAAGAAGGTCGGGTCACTGAGTGCCTCTAGGCGGATGCTTCCCCAGGTGCGCTCACATCAATAAGAGGCATGCGGACCAGCTGTGAGGCAGAATGAGTCAGAAACCGCAATCGCCTTTCTTCTCTCTGCCCCGAAACTCTTAGCATTTTTTTTTTCTCTCAAGATTGTGTGTGTGTGTGTGTGTGTATGCGCGCGCGCATGTTGAGGGGGCAACAACAAATCCGATAGTTGTGGTTCAGACGCCTGTCCGCGCGCGCCCCCTGCCGATCACACCTTTACCAGCGTCAGGCCGAGACCTGAAAGGCTGTCAAGGGTCTAATTCTAAGTCTCTTGTACATCTTTGGTGGTGGTGGTGGTGGTGGGGCACTCATTTCATCGCTGGATCTGAAAAGCCTCCTCACCCTGAAAGTCAGAAAGGAGACCCTTTACAGATAGAAACCCTAATCATGCCTCAGGGAGGGCTATGTGCCCTTACTCGGGTGACTCTGGCTTACGTGGGACACAGGGAAGGAAAAGGCCCTCTGCATTTAAAGTAGGCAAGCACCCATTTGCACCGCGCTGCTCCTGTGTCCTGCCAGCTTTCCCCTTCTTCCTCCTCTTCCAACAGTGCTCAGGTGGGTGGAGGCCTGCACTGAGAGCTCCAGTGCCCAGGAACCTGCTAGGCCGAGGTGCTGTCTAGACACCAGCCCTCAGTCACATGGGCACCTTTCAGCAAGTGGTGGGGTGGGTGTGGTGCCATGTTCAGATGCTATAGTTTAGTGATGCAGGACCACACTCTGATAGGTGGGGTATTGAGGAGACATCTTGAAACCTTGAATATGGGCCTTCTGGGTCCCAGGAGGCTTTGCTGCCAGTGTTTTAAATAGCCGTCATCAAACCCACCATGAGGAGGGGAGCAGGGGAGACAAAACACAATACCTAGAAGATTGGTAGGGGTTACACTGACTTCCATTCATGCTTTTGTCCAGACCCGGGGGCCCAGGTCAGTATACTTGAGGGTTCCCAGGATGCTGGCCGCTGACCTTACACCCTTCAAGTCTCTCCAAAGGATCTGTCTTAGTCAGTGTTCTATTGCTGTGAAGAGACACCATGGCCTAGAGAGAAAGAGAAAGCATTTAACTGGAGCTTGCTTACTGTTAAAGAGGTCTAATCCATGGCCCTGGGCTTCCAGTGCAAAGATAAGCCCCTGGCTCCTGATCCACACCTCCCCCACAATTGGGAACTTACTTTAGTCCAGTACTGTGCCTCCCCACCAAGGTGACCCGAGCTCATGAGCCCATGTCAGCAGCACCGCTGACTCCCTCTCCATCCTGCAGCCCTGGCTGGGCCAACCAAGCATGAAGAGAGGGACGAGACTGTTCCTCCTACTGCTCCAAGAATCACCTTTCTCCAGCGGATCCCCACTCCCATCACCCAGGACTCCAACGGGAAGCAGAGGTAAGAGGTTCTGCTATGTGGCATGGTCCTTTCCATTCTTTGCAGGCCACCGGGAAAGGTTCAGCGATCTGCACCAACCATCCCCAGGAGAACTCCCGCTGGAATGCCCGCACGGCTAACACCCATCTGTCAGTACTACACATCCCTTCAGGTCTCTCTCCACTTTCCCACTCCACCCCACCACGCCCGTCTCCAGTCATCCAATATTTGCTGAGGGCTCTTGCTGGCTAGGATGGAGCTTTTGAGGACGACTCCGCATGGGGGTCTCCAAACCTTGGTACTGGCTGAGACCGAGAAGAATGGTGGCTCACGTGTCTGGCTGAGGGATCAAGACCCGGGGCTCATGTGGCTTAAATGACAGCATCTCTGACATTTGCTGGTAAGTAGAGCCAGTCACGTTAGGTAGCGGGTGAGTCAGGAGAGGGCAGACACTGCTTGGCTCTGGTGATCCTGTAGCGTCGGGGATAACTGAGCACTTGGGAAGAACACCTTCTAGAAGAACAGTCTGGGAGGGCAAGCCTAGACACCCTATAGACTTCCTAAGACTGGGCAGGATCCTATAGGTGTCACCTACACAGTGGACCAGCCTCCCTCTCCCAACTAAATTGTGAGGTTCTTGAGGGTGGGGCTGGACTCCAAAGAGTCCTGGACGCAATGCCAAAGAGCTGTAGGCACAGAGTCACCTCGGGTGGGAAGGAACCAACGCTTGGCAAAAGTGCAAGAGAAGGCCTGGGCACCTGGCAGGCCACGCCCCTAGTAATTTGCTAGAGACCTGATGGGTGGAACCATTTTGCTACTTTCTAGCAAAGTGGCTAGAACCCGGGCTGTAAGCCCTCACGTGGACTGCAGTCAGGTCACGTGGCCTGAAGGCCAGCACGTGAAGCAGCCAGCCAAACACGAGGAGGGGCGGAGCAAGCCCAGCACGAGGTGGGCAGGCGTGAGGGGTGGGCGTGGCGAGGTGCTTGCGTGAGAGTGGGCCTCTGGGTGCTGGTTGGATGCAGCGCTCCCGGGGGTAGGCAGAGTGTGGGTGAGGACAGGCTGGCGAGCAGAGCTGGGGGCTATCCGTGGCTTCCGGTTGTTGCTTTTTCCCTCCAGCTTCGTGCCCATGGCGTCCAGAGGCCACGAGCGGACCGAGCGGACCACTGAAGCTTATGGAGTCTCCGGCTTCACCGGATGCAGGTAAACCGTGGATTGACGGGGTTTGAGAGAGTCGGGTCCCCAGGCTTTTCTTTGCCCAGGGTCTAATTTTTGTCTTCGCCTTGCCTGGCACAGCCGGGCAGAGCGCCCCATCTTGGCGTGGAGAGGTGGGGGAGGGGTTACGAGCTGGACAGGTGGTCTGCCTGGATGACCCAGGCCTGTCCGCCACTGCCTTCCAGACGTCCACTCCAAATGCCTTGGTTCTCCAGGTGGGGCGCTGGTGGCTTTTCTGGTGTTCACAAGTGGTCTTGGCTTTGTTCTCTGTAGTAAGACTCCTCAGCCTGAGACTCGGGACAACTTACAGACTCCCTCACAGGGCTCAGGCCCCCGTGCAGTTCCTGCGGCTGCCGCAAATTGTGGCTCCTGCCTTCGGAGAAACGTGGTCAGCGAGAGAGAACGCAGGTGAGAGCAGCTTCAGGATGGACAGTGCGTCAGAGAAATGGGGGTGGAGGAGTCTGTGGCTTAGCCAGGTTCTACCAATTTGGACCAATCAGAATTAACACCAGATCCCCAAGTAAACTCAGCCTTGTAAAAGGAGGGCAGGGGCCCTGGTGGTCCACAGACTAGTGTGTTAGGTTCCTCTAGCGGCTAGACGCCTGACTTGGATTCATTCTTACACATACCAGAACAGAGCTGCCTCAGGGCTGTACCTTCAGTCTCGAGTTACTGTGTGCCACAGCCCCAGAGGTTCAGGCTGCTGGTGGGCTGACTTTGCTGCTCAGGAGGTCTTGGGGGCTGCTTGGTGATGGGTTCTGGAGACTCTTTTCCCTTCTCTTGTCTGGAAGCAGGAGGCGGATCTCCTTGAGCTGTGAACGCCTGCGGGGTCTGCTGCCTCACTTTGATGGCCGGCGGGAGGACATGGCATCGGTCCTGGAGATGGCTGTGCACTTCCTCCAGCTTGCCCACAGTATGGCTCCTGGCTGGGAGCAGCTCTCTGTGAGTTGTAAGCATGTGAGCCCTGTCAAGCCTCTGTAGTGGATCTGCTGTGTAATAGCCTTGTTTAGGGGCAGCATCCTCGGGCCCCATCCTTCAGCGCAAATTGGCCACATCTTCTGCACCCTCATGATGCATTCAAACCTACCGGTTGGTGTTCTCTGGAGGGGGCACGCATCCACTGTCTCTCCCCAATACTGTAGCTTGATTAGTTGCCCGTATGTGATGCCACTGTTGGGGGTGTCAGGGTCTCCATGTGCCCAATTCTGGCCAAGAACATTTATGCTTAGACTTCCCCTACCCGCTGATTCCAAGACACCTGCCTGATTCTCAGTCCCATGTGTGTTTGTCATGCCTGTGCTTGAGGAGAACTCTGTTCTGATGACTTGAGGCCCTGTGGTCAAGCCCCTGGGTGGATACAGGCTGACTCAAGAACAGGGAGGTGTTGGAGGGGTGAAATGTCAGTGCTTACACATCCTTTCCCTGTTCTGGGCCCACGCCAACTCAAGGGACTCCCTGGGTGTCCTTGGGTGTCTGATGGGGAGGCTGGGCGGAGGGCAACAGCCTGATGACTGCTTTCCCCACCCTGAGCTGCTGCCGCCTGGTATGTGTGCCTTTAAACTGCAGGTTGCTCAGCCTTCCCAGGAGATGTGGCACATGTGGCAGGGGGATGTTGTGCAGGTAACCCTGGCGGATCAGATGGAGGACAGCAAGCCGGAGCCCGGGATCGCGAAAGCATCTGGTGCAGCTCGGTCAGTGTCCCCGCGGCCCATCCCTGGGCCCTGGGCTCTGTCTGAGCGATAGTATTCAGAGGCATAGTCGTACTTGACCCCTCACACACCTTAAACAACACTGCTCATGCTCTCGGGCTTTGCCATAGTCCTTTGAGAGCCTGCTGTGACAGTCTCGCCCAGATGTTGTCAGCAGGCTCACTTGACTCTTCTGCTCTGTGGGTCTCTTGAGTTCCTTTTTAATGTCTTATACTCTCTCAGGGCGCAGGACCCCCCGTGCTGCGGGACGCTGGGTATGGACCAGAAACCTGACACAGAGAGAATGTCAGAGCTGCTGGAGAGATCCTCCTCCCCTGATGGTAAACCCCAGAGCACACTGTCATTCAGTGCCTGGGCTGGGTGACCTCTGACCCTGAAATGGTTGGCACTATTGCTTTAGTGCTACCTTTCCTGTGCCCAGAGTCTAGCAACAGCCGGCTGTCTCACCTCTGCCTGTGCTGAAATTGGGGTGACTCTGAGGCCTGAAGCCTTTCTAGCTTTAGCTCCAGGCCATGGGGTATTGTTCCCGATGCCAAGCCCTGGTCAATAGGTGCCTGATGGCAGCTTACACTTGCCCTTTCTGGCTGTTTCGTCTCCCATCGACTGTATTTTCCTTGTCTAGACGTCTCAGCTGGCTGGACAGGACTTCTAAGCAGCCACGTGTATGGGGATCATGGGGATAGGCAGCTGTTCTGAGGGAGGAGCTCAGGGTCACAGGAGCAGTGCTGATGGGCACTCCTGATTTGAGCCCATGGGGTTGGACACCTGGTTTTGGACACTCCTCTGCTTGGGTCCCTGTTAAATACTTCTGGGGTTCACATGTGCATAGCGTAGGACAGTAGCTAACCTTTCTGCTTTCCACTCAGAGCCTTCCAGCTTGAGCCCAGAGCCTTCCAGCTTGAGTCCTGGGCTCTCACCCTGGCTTCCTCACTCATGGCAATTAGCCAGCCCCCAGACAAGTGACATCATTTCTGGTGGGCTGCACCCCGTGGGATCCTTGGCCAGGGACACTGAATCTCCAGGCATACTGGCTGAGGAGACCAACTTGGTCCTGACATCTGTGCCTGATGCCAGGTGCATACTTGTGTGTGTGTGTCTTTCTGTCCATCCATCCATCCGTCTGTCTGTCTGTCAGTGGCAGCATCACTTGCCTGCCTTCAGTCCAGCGCTAGCCTGTGCCTTTCTCCACTTCTGGATGCTTCCAGTCCTGACTTTTATCCACCCCACATTGAGAGGAGGCCCAGGCAACAGGCCCAAGCCAGACTCACCATGTGGCTTTCTGATATGTGTTTCTAAAACATTTTTGTCTCCTAATTGTCTTTTGTTTGGGCTGATGATGAAATAAATTTGTGTTTGGGGAGCACACACCAGCTGGAGTGTGGGAGGCAGAGGGGAGGGATGGGGATGAAGCCGTGGCTGGAGAAGCCAGCATAGATCTCTGTTCAGCAGAGCCCTGTGGCTAGGGCCTGCACCCTGGGACTTGGACTTCCATACTTGGTGCTGGCGATCTGAGCCTCTGTGGAGCCTTTGTATGATTGGGATTGGTTTCTGCTGAGTTTCTGTTGCCTAGATGCACTTGTCCACTAAGGGATCTTCTCATCTCCAGGTACGCCACAGGAGCAGGGTCTGACGTGATGGATGGAACACCCTTTCTGCTGGCCACCAACCCTGATTGGTGGTTGGGTGAGTGGGGCTGTGAGCCCAGGCTCCCTTTCCCCACACTGACCCTGGCTCGAGGGCATGTGTCCAACCTGACAGGACCAGGGAGACTGCCCAGGCCCAGCTTGCTCTCTGACCCAGAGTCCCCAGGTCGTCTCCCCCTCCTTGTCTGGTGATGGTAAAATGTGACCGTGTGTGGCTGCATGAGCGTGTGTGGAAATGGCTGTGTGGAGTCCTGGATGTTTTCAGTAATGCTCCCAGGTCAGCTCCATGGGGCCACCAGGACGTGTGGTAGACAAAGCATATGCTGTATGTCTTCACTGCCTCTCGGGTCCAGTGTTGAAGGAACACTGCTGTGGTTCTTCCACGAGTAGATCTCCTATGTAGGGTCAGCAGAGCTGGGCTCATCCCACTTACAGGGAGGAGTCAGGTTCACATTCCCTTCTCAGACAGAGGGACAAAGGGCTTGCAGAATGGCCAGGGTGGTAGCAGCGTGGGAAGCCCCTTATGCCGTGACCAGCCTATGGCTGGTGTCGGGGTATGTGCCTGCCATACTGATGTTCCCTTTTCTTCCAGGGTCGGTGGAGGGCAGAGGAGGCCCAACCCTGAGCATGAGCAGCCCTATGGAGAGGGCAGAGGCAAGCTTTGTGGGAGATCCTGAGCCCAGCTCCCAGGAGCTCCATGCTGGCCCGGTAGAGCTGTGGGGCTTGGATTTTGGCAGCCCTGGCCTGGCCCTGAAGGATGAAGCAGACAGCATCTTCCCTGACTTTTTCCCCTGCTAGTTGGGTTATGTCAGCTTGGGGGCAGGGCAGCACGGAGCATGTGGTTAGACTGTGCCCCTGACCCTTGCCTGGGCGTTGTATTTGGGGTTTGGTTTGCAGCTGTGGTCTAATTTGAGGGGGACTGGCAGAGCTGCTAGTGGAGTTTGTATTAAAGAGGAAAGTGGTTTTCCTGGCAGAAGCACAATTTCTCTGACTTTTGAGTAATTAATCCAATTCATTGGGCATATTGCCCCAACTCCATTCAGAGCACAGGCAGCTGTCTGGATGCTTTCTGAGAGGCTCTCAGCTTGGTGGGATCCCTAAATAACCCAGTTCTGTGCCTTTCTCCCAGAGAGGTGCTAGAGACCAGGTGCCGTTCTCCTCCTTGGGGTCAGGTATTTGAGATGGGTGGGGCCTTTCAAGGGGGTCCTGTGTCTTTTCTCCCAGTACACTATGTCCTGGGGGAAGGGATGGTTCCCCTTTTACTGCCAGTCACCTCTGTACTTGCTGTACATGGGCTCCTGGCGACCCTCCGTGTCTGCCCACACATTCCACGCTGGGCTGCTGTGGGCAGACTGAAGATTGGCATTGGTCGTCTGTTCTGGGCAGGCTGCAGGCTTGTCCTGTTCTCTGCATTTGGAGACAGCTCCAGGTCCCTGGGACTTCCTCCCCCATATCAGTCCCTGTTCTGGGGCCAGAGCAGCCCAGCCCAATTCTTCCAAGAACCTTGAATGTGAGATCAGAGCTCCCACAAGGCTGCCCCCACAGCCAGTGGAATGTTCCATTCATTCCCATGAGTCACTGCAGACAAAAGCTCGGAGCAGGTGGTGTGGGATGAAGCACTTGGGGGCTGTGAGCGCTGAGATCATCACACATCCCAGGAGCTGAGAGGGCCACGTGATGGTCCAGGAGGGTCTGAGCGCTCGTACCACTGTGGTCCAGGTGGGCGCTGAGCTGAGCTGTCCACCCCCAGGACCTCACCATCACCAGCTCCCATGATTTACAGGGCTGAAGACTGGTCAGAAGAGGGAGTGGCTTCCAGGTTCCTGGCTGCTAGTGTGCCAGAACCACATCAGATCTCTTGAGCACAGGGATTGGGGCCTCACTTTGCTTGTCGGCTGTTTGAGCCTATTAACTCCGGTTGTCTGAATTCGCTTGTCTTCTAGAAGACTCCATGGGTGTGCTTGTGTGCATATTATGTATGCTAAGGCCAACAGCAAGTGTGTTTGTGTACCCATATAGATGTGTATGTATTTTTGTCTGTCTGGCATTTGTGTATCTGTGTGCGCATGAATGTTGTATTTATGTTAGGGTATGCATGTATGCTTATGCCCATATGTTGGGCATAATGTGTGCACGTCACAGCCACAGGAGGGTGAGCATCCATACCTGCCCTGCTGTGTGACTGCTCCCCTGTCCTTGGACATGGCCCACCATTCACAAGCACGTGGCCTTAGGCGGAGCCAGGGTCCCGGCCTGCTGCTCTTTCTGGTTTTGTAGCCCTAAGGCAGGACATGGAAGGTTAGCTGTCTGAGTCCTACTCGACCCTCCCTGCAGATAGACTGGATGTGCTCAACCATCTCTGCAGCCAACCCTCTTTTGGACCTTTTAAACCTTGGGTACCACTGTGGTTGGTGTGCAGCCTTACCTGTGGCACCTGAGAGAGGCGGGGAGCCTGGGTTGATATGTTCAGAGTCATGGCTTAGGTCTGAGGGGAGGGAAGAAATTTCCACAGGAGTAGACCCCACTGCAGGAGGCAGGTGGTCTCTCCTTCCTGAACCAGAGACAAGAATGAACCTGAGGCCCAGCTAGGTTCTTGTGGGTAAGAGCAGTAATGGGTCACAGACCCTGCTCAGGTAGTGGGGGACCACAGCCTCAGGGTCCTGGGACTGAGGGCAGACTTTGAGTAGTACTTGATTCCAGGAGAGTTGGGGACTTCAGACCCTACCCCACAGAGGAGCATAGGAAAGGGGCTTCCTGGATCAGGGGCCTGGCCATGGTGTCTACGCCTGTAAGGCTCTGTGGACACAGGTGTGGTTCCTTGTGCAACCATACCTCACCTTTTTTAAAAAATATTATTGATACAGCTAGCTGAGATTGCAGAATGTTCTCGTCCGGCTGGGTTTAGGAGGCTGCGAGCAGCCACCCTGGTTAGTCTTGCTGGCGGTTCTGTACCCCGGTCCACATGGACTGCTCCAACACTGCTCCATTTCCCTCTGCAGAACCCTGCCGCTCCTACGCAGCTCATCCTAGGCCCCAGTGCATGGATCTGACCATCCTCCCTGAGAATCAGCTCCGCCCATCCTCAATCCCCGGCCCTGTGCAGTGATCACCCTGCTTGGGGAAAAGCGCCCACTGAAAGCTGGATTCCGGGGTGTCACAGCCCTGTTTTCATTTCTACCAACATCCTCTCCCAATGCCCTGCGTCTGCAGGTCGCCCAAAGCTTGGGGCATGCAGTCTGGTGGCATAACAGGCACACAGCAGTGCTGCCTGCTCTGTGGGCTTTCCTCAGAGCAGGAATCCCAGTGGGGTAGGCAAGGGGCTCGCATTAGAATCATACTTCATAGGGGAGCCACGTGTCGTCAGCAGGTGCTGCTATGATCTCCCTTCAGACTGCTGTGAGACTATTTCTGGAACCCTTCAGACTGCTGGGTTCCTCTGGAACCCCCAGTGCTCGGGCTGTGGTTTGGACAACAGGGCCTATGTGTGTCCTCAGCCTATTTGGGGGACTTACTGCCTAGAGACTCCGTGACAGAGACCTGCGGGGGGAGGAGGTGTTGGCATTTCTCTGTCCATGGGGCCTCAGAACCTTTGAAGAGAGCCCGTGTGCTTTGTGTTAGGTGAGGGGAGCTGGGTCACGTGCCAGCATTCGGAGTATCAGAGGCCCTTCTGCAGGGTCTTGGCAAGTCATGGCCTTCAAGGATGGCTGCGGGAAGGGGATTTGGGGCAGTTAGAAGTGTGTCTCACCCCACTTCTTACCTCTCCAGCAAGCACACAGTTCTGTGAAACTATACACCCCTGCTTTCACGAGGCCCATATTCTCCTTGTGCATAAGAGCTGAGTTCTTATCTGGAGCTCAGAAAGGGTGAGGTAGGACCCAGGTTTGCCTATGTTCCTTACACAACAGGGAGATCCCCACAGGAACAGACAGCTGAACCTTTAGAAGATTGGGGTGTTTCCTTTGACAGAGGAGTGAATGTGTAGAAATGTGTGGGGCGTGTGGAGGCATGTGTACGAGTTTGTTGCGGGGCACACCATGGATGCATGCATGTGTGTACATGTGTGTACATGTGTGTGCGTGTGGGCCTTGCTTTCCCTTCGTGTAGGTTCTCTTGTCTTGGCTGCTGCATTGGGATGCAGGCATCTGATAACCACAGATGGAGTAAATGCCACATCCTGGTTCCTGGGCCCCAGTTGTTTCTGACTTCAGACCATCCCCCACCCCCATCCCCCATCCTCCCCATCCCCTCCTGGTCATCCTCCTGTGTCCATGCCCCAGTGCTCCCCCCCACTCTGTTTGCAGATCCTCTCACAGCCTTCAGCCAGCCAGGTGGGCCCCGGGGGTTGCTTGAAAAATAATCTCTGGGTTTGTGGCATTCGCAGCAATTTTCAGGGGGCTCAAGTGACACTCCTGATTGAAGGATGATCTCCAGTAGACAGTGGTCACACCTGCTCCTGAAGCAGTGGTCAGCCAGGGGCACCTGCTCCTGAGGCCGTGATCAGCCAGGGGTACCTGTCCCTGAGGCCGTGGTCAGCCAGGGGTACCCACTCCTGAGGCAGGTGGTCAACTGGGGTCCAATCCACATCCTCATTAGCTCCTACTCAAGACAGGTGATTGTTCCAGTGGCCTACAGTCTCCCCTCAAAGCTCTTGTCTCCAAGCAAGCTCCAACCTGGGCTCTTCCGGACATGACCTCAGCTCGCGCCAGCCTGCAGCACTGTGCTCAGAAGTAGGTGTGTCAGTCTTGTGCTACCTGTGAGGCTGTGTCTCAGGCTGACTGGGGCCTGCAGATGGCTCTTGTGAAAAACTCCAGAAGTGTTCTCCCTCTCCCCACCCTCCTGTGTGTGTGTGTGTGTGTATGTGCGTGTGTGTGTGATGTGCACTAGTGACTGTGGACGCATGTTCTAGGCAGCTGCTCAACTGGGAGAGCAGTGTGCGAGCTGCAGCTGAGCACCTGCTGGTGGCAGCCACACTCACTGACACTGCAGTATCTACACCCAGGACAGACCCCAGACCTGCCTAGGGCCTCAGCATCACTCGGTGCTTGCTGAAGTCATCTGCTGCCAAGTGCAGCCCAGTGGTTTCTGCCCCCCTCTAGGTCTCACCCCTCCTCCCCAGTGGGACCCCAGTAGATGCCACCTCGCTGCTCCTTACAATTTTACATAATTTGCGTTCCTGAGCACTTTTGTTCTGTTTTTTGAATTTATATAAACATCATGCAGGGCACTTTCTCCTGATACTTGGTTTCCAGGGCATTTTCTTGTTTGTCAGACTCCCCCCTTTCTCCTTCCCAAATGCCTTTTTCTTTTTGAGAGTATGTTATTATCCTGGGGTGGCCTCAGACTCATTCTGCAGCCAAGGACAACTTTTGCTGGCCTTTCGCACCCCCTTCTCCAGTGCTGAGTTACAGGCACTCTGCACCACATCCAGTCCACGCAATATTGGGGTTCAAACCCAGGGTCTTGAGAACGCTAATCAAGCAGTTTGTCAACTGAGCCATCTCCCCGACTAACCCACACTTTTTGTTTTGTTTTGATTTTTGAGACAGGTTTTCTCTGTGTTCTGGTTGTCCTGGAACTTGCTCTGTAGACCAGGCTAGCCTCAGATTCACAGAGATCCACCTTCTTCTTCCTCTGGACTGCTGAGATTAAAGGTGTGTTTCACCATGGCCTGGTCCAACCCACACTTTTAACTTTTACTTTTTCTGAATTTGTGTTCTGTGATTAGTATAGTAATGTCGTCAGGCTTCATTCGTGTTAAAGCATGTGTCAGAATTTTGTTGTTTTTTAGATTTATTTTATTTTATTTTATTTTATTTTATTTTATTTTATTTTATGTGTATGAGTGTTTTGCATGCATGTGTGTCTGTGCGCCACATGCATGCAGTGGCCACAGAGGCCAGAAGGCCTGGATCTAGGACTGTAGTTAGGGATGTTTGGTTTGTGAGTGGCCATGTGGGTGAGTCTGGATGGCAATGCTTATCAGACACGATTCAAAAATAGTCTTTTCCATGATCTCCAGAGTAGATTGGGAGCGTGGGGACCATGGGAGAGGGTAGGAGAGGAGAGGAAGGGAGGGGAGCGGAGAAAAATATACAGCTTAATAAAAACGATTTAAATAAAAGAAAATAGTCTTTCCTCTTCTGTGGGTTGTCTTTTTAATTAATTAATGTGTGTGTGTGTGTGTGTGTGTGTGTGTGTGTGATACCACATGTGTGGAGGTCAGAAGAACTCACAGAAGTTGGTTCTCTCCTTTCACCCATGGGTCCCAGGGATGGAATTCAAGTTGTCAGGCTTGGCAGCAAAGCTCCCTTACCCAGTGAGTCATCGTGTGGTCCCAGGCTGTGGCCTCTTTGCTCTGCCTTCAGGATCTTTGAGGCCTCACGCTTCCAGTTGTGTGACTTCTGATGTCTTTCCTATTGCCTGTGCTTCTGCTGTCCATTTGAAACCTCTTACAGACTCAGCACCTCAAATCTCCCTCCCTTGTTGTCCTAGCATTTGATAGCTGATTTGATAGGGTGTAGTGGGAAAAACTGTTTCCTTCATTCCTGTGTAGTGTGTTTTGTGTCACCCCCCCCACCGTGTTTGTAGATTTTCCCCTGACTTACCACTTTTGTTGGCTTATGCTGGGCTCCCTGCTCTGCCCCTAAGATCCAGGCATCTGTCCATCAGTGTGGTCCAGCATCACACTGCTTTGATCACTGTAGCTTTGTAATATGTTCTTTTTGTTTATATGGCTTTGGTTTTGGTTTTGAGACAGGGTCTCTATATCGGGCCGGCTTAGAACTCAGAGATATGCCTGCGCAGCACCACGCCCAGCTTGCAGTATACTTTGAAGTCAGGGTGTTTTCCTTTTTCAAATTTTTATTTTTTTAAGGAATTTTATGATCAGGGCCCCTTGGGATTTCATGGGAATACTGAGATGAAATGATAAAACCCTCCATTTGAATTTTGACAAGGACTGCAGTAAAGCTGCCTGTCACTGTGGTGTCAGTTGTCAACAGCACCGAGTCCCCAGTCAGTAAAGGGACTTCTGTTTAGTTCCACCTTTCTGTTCTGTTCACAGAATTTTGTGGCTTCAGTGTCTAAAACTGCCTTCTTGGTTAAGTTTGCTCCTCACCACTTCCGCTGCCGTTGTCTCTAACGTTGAATTCTAATTTCCGTTCGGGGTATTCTCTGTTAATACTCAGTGAGCTCCGAATGCTGGCTATGTGTCTGCAGGAGTCCTCGCCTAGCCAGCTTCAGCAGTTCCCGTGACAAAGACCAGAGTTAGCTGAGGGAGTCACGGGGGATGGCCTCAATCAGGATGGACTGTTGGAGGTCTGTGGGCCGTTTTCTTGATTGCCCATTGATGTAGGAGGGCACAGCCTACTGTGGACCGTGACATTTCTGGATAGGTGAACATAGGTTGTATACGGATGCTGGCTAAGCAGGAGCCATCATGGCCAAGCCAGTGTGCACTGTCCCTCCATGGTTTCTGCTTCAAGCTCATGCCTCAAATTCCTGACTTCTCTCAGTGATGCACTATAATGCTGCATGTGCTGCTGTGTGCTGGAGAGATGACTTCCCTCTGTGATGGACTTTGATGTTGCATGTGCTGCGTTGTGCTGGAGAGATGACTTCCCTCGGTGATGGACAGCGATGTTGCAGGTGCTGCGGTGTGCTGGAGAGATGACTTCCCTCGGCAATCGACTGCGATGCTGCGGGTGCTGCAGTATGCTGGAGAGATGCATGCTCACTCTCAGCTGGCCCCAGATCTGGTCTGAAGAGGATAATGGGAGCTGCTCAGGGTGTGTATTCTCTCTCAGCTGAACAGGCTTAGATGTGTGGAGCACCTGCACCTTGTGTTCCATGTACTTGTTCATATTTCATCTATGGATGTTTTATCTGATTATTCTACCATTGTCTAAATAATGGAGCCAAGTCATGGTGGATAGCACTCTGAAAATGTGACTTTGTGTGCAAAAATGTTGATCAAAACAGAACCTTGAGATGACCCCCAGATGGCCTACATAGGTCCTAGATCTAAGGTGTGCTTGCAGGAAGAGGCAGGAAGGGTGTGTGTGTGTGTGTGTGTGTGTGTGTGTGTGTGTGTGTGTGAGCATTAATTCCCAGCAGCATGTACAGAGAGCCACATTGGCAGCTCACCTGTTATCAACACCCCACTAGGATGGCCCATTTCTTAAAGTCTCTGAGCCTACATTGGCATGTCATTGTCACCCACAGTTGCGGTCTGTCTTGCACTCCCTGTAGGTTTCCACAGATATGTAACAATGACATGCCTGCCATTTTGGTATGGGGGGGGCAGTGTTACTGCTGCCACGGTCACCTGTGCTCCATTTGTTTGTCCTTCCCTCTCCCCAGCCCACGGGAGCCACATCTTTTCCTTGTCTCCACAGTTGGGGGCAGGAGAGATTTGGCAGCCAGAGAAGCAGTTGCTCGGGACATGAACCCGGAAAGTTTGATATCTTAACAGCTGGGAGAATGATGCACCTACCACCGGATGGACGCCTAGGCCAGGGAAACTGGCAGAGGAGGGTGGCCCTGCCTGCACCTGAGTTTCCCCAGGTGACTGACCAGGACGCCTCCCCCCGCCCCCCCAGAGCTGTGCAAAACCACATTCCCATTGTTTTCAGAAGCCAGTGTGTGGTCAAGGCCAAGGTGCTTACAAGAGAGAAGCGTTAGGGTTGGAGTGACCATGAATCGCTCTGGTCCTCTCTGGGGACCTTTGATTTCTTCTTCCGCCCGACACTCATTTAAAGCCACAAATGATGGAAACCTCCCTGACTTCTCTCAGGCCTGCCCACCTTGATGACCCCTGTCTGAGAGCCTGTTTCCATGGCTGCCCCACTTCTTATCACCTGTCTGTTGTGGCCAACTGGCAGCGACCCCAAAGATACCCATATCTTAGACTCTGGAGCCCGTGAAATCGTTCATGTGGTAGAGGCGTGTGCCGACATGACGCTGTAGGATCTTGAGGTGAGGAGGGTAGTGAAGCTGTGCACCTCTGTTCCTGGACGTCTCTAGCAGACCCCTTGGGTGGAGAAAATGGCTAGCCTTCTCCATAACCTGTCCAGCAGCACCCCTCAACCCTGAGACTTTTCAGGGTCTCCACAATTTCAGGTCAGGTCCAGCATGCTGCAGGTTCCCCGGTACTACCAGCAAGTGGTTTCCAACCGATTCTCTCCAGGGATTCACGGCTAGTGCTCCAGTCCCTGTACTGGCTCACTAGGCTGGGCTTCTCAAAGCTACCAGATCAGCCATCTCTGCCCTCTGAGGGCCAAGAACACCACTGCAGTCACTGTGATACTCATGCTGGCAGCCTTGGCCCGGGCCTGCTAGCTGTGCTGGGAACAGAGGTGGAGCTCTTCTGCATCTCCCACTTGCCCCATGGAACATTATTGGGGTCTTGGGTGGGTGGTGGGCTGCAAGGGCTAGAAAAGGTCCTCAGAGGACCATGGTATTGGCATCAGAGAAGGGAGGGGGCCAAGCTCATTGCAGACAGGCAGCAGACAGAAAGCTCAGTGAGACCTGAGAGTGCTTGGGCCTGGGCCAGACATCTATCCATCCTGAACCTTGGGTCAACTGTCTTTTCAATGCCATCTGCCAGGTCCTCTTAATGGGCTCACAGGAGCCCCTTCCGCCCAGTTAATTACTTTGAAGCTGGGCATATCATACTGGCTCTAACTGGGTAAACTTCTCTGAGCCTGTCTTTGTATGCGATTCTGCGCCTGCTGGAGTGGTCTGCCTATTGTGCTGACACTTTTTGCCCACCTCTGAGTTCTTGTGCATCTGGATGGCCCCTCCTGACTTCTGTCTTTCGTCCATTGCAAGGAGGAGAGTCACATAGAGGTGCTCCCAGCTGGATCTGTCCTCATGTCCCTGCTGTTTTAAAATGTTCTTGGAATTTGGAATTTGAGTTTAGTTGATTACTGGTTATTCAGATCTCTTTCTGGCCTGGGTTTGGTCTTGACCCATTGGGAAAAAAGTTCCTAGAACTCAAAGTCAAGATAGACCCCACCAGTGCTGAATTCATAGCTTGTTATGGCCTTACCTCCTGGATGTAGCTCCTCAGCCCAGTGGGTCTGGCTATAGTAACTGCACAGGGCACGGGTGTGGCTGAGAGATGGTGAGGCATGGGTTGGGATTCCGAGCTTCTTACTAACCTTACACTGCTCCTTACACTGGACTCATGCTACAAGGAAGCTGGTTACCAGTCTTCCCACTCATGGACTCGGTAAAACTCAAGTGTCCACCGGGCCTGGTTAGGCTAAGTGAGCTGCTGGAGGCCAATGCCACCTTGTGGCAATTCCCTGAGCTGCAGGTGTCTAAAGGGATCCTGGCCTTTTGGCAGGCCCTGCTCCACATCTCCTCCTATACCCGTTTGCTGCCTAGGTTGTGACCAGGGGCATCCAAGGTGCTGGCAGACTGGTGGTTCCTGGATTTCAGGCTGGGCTCTTCACTGGCTAAAACTCTGGTTGGCCATCCTTGGCCCCTTGGGTGGCAGTGTGAGTACATAGGAGAGGAAGGGGTCTGGGTCCCAAGCTCTTCTGATGCCATTGTACAGACCACCAAACTCTGTGACTGATCCTTAGGGAGGTGCAGCTTTTTCTAAGAACACAACAAATGCTGCACTCCATGTCTGCTGGCTGCATTTGGAGTTCTTCCTTCAGCCTTTGCGAAGGCTGTATTCTAGGCTTACGCCCCATGGCCTGGCCTGGGGTGCCTGAAGTCTGGCTCTAGTCTGCCAGAGCTGGGGTGTCTATGATGACCTAACATGTCCAACCAGAGATCATGCTAATACCTAAGAGACTCATCTCCGCTTGCTGGACAGAAAACAGATAAGTGTCCAGAGCTGTCCACAGCCCCTGGCCAAGACAGCTCTGCCCCAGGGGTCCTGCCGGCTGAGATACTGAAATGTCCTGCATCCTTCCTTCCACACTTTCATAATCATCTCACTGGGATCGTGGGCCTGCCCTTCCAGTCCTGTTCCTGGCTCTGCATCCTTCTGACCCTGGGAGCCCTGCTAAAAGCCTCTGCCTTCTCACCTCCAACAGCTGTATCTCCAGTTCCTCGGAGGGCTTTTCCTCTGCCCAGAGGCCACAGAACACTGCCAGGCCCACCAGCAGCAGAAGGGGCAGCATTATCAGTGTTTCTGGTTCCATGGACAGTTGGGGTTCACTGGCCCAGAGCTGCCTGGGATGGTTTTTCTTGATTGTCCACCTGACTACATCTGGAATTAACTAAAAACCTATGAGGAATTTTTTTCCTAATTAAATCATTAGAAGTAGAAGACCCACTTTTTTCACCCTCTCTGTTTCTCTGTGTAGCCCTGGCTTTCCCGGAACAGGCTGGCCTCAAATTCACAGAGACTTGCCTGTCTTCGCCTCCTGAGTGCTGGGATTAAAGGCATGAACCACCATCACCTGGTGGCTAAACCCACTTTTAGATCAGATCTTTTGAAGTGGGAAGATCTACCTTTAATCTGGGCCCCACCTTCTGCAGGCAGCCTATATAAAGGACACGGAAGAAGGAAGTTTCTGCTCTCTTTGCTTGCTCTTGCTCTCACTAGCAAGTCCATTCTTTCAAAAACTGGAGCCTACTCCTTTGGGGTCTCAGCACATGCTGAAGACCAGCTGAGATATCCAGCCTCGTGGACTGAGTGACTACTGGATACTTGGACCCTCCATTGGTAGACGGCCATTACTGAACTAGCTGGACCACAGCCTGTAAGCCATTCTAGTAAATTCCATATATGCATTCCTCTAGAGAACCCTGACTAACACAGATTTTGATACTAGGAGTGGTTCTATAGCAAGAGAAGTATAAGAATGTATTTTTAAAGCGTCTGGAATAGGCTTCCAATTTGACACCTGCAGTTATGGAAGCCTCTCCTAGAAGCTGGGAGAGTACTGAAAGCCCATGATGTGGACTATTTCACAAACCTAAGGAGATAAATGCATTTGCTTTTCCTGACTTACCAACTGTGAGGGCAATGGATAGTTTTCTTTTTATTAATTCTTTTTATTAATTAAATGTTTTCATTTACTTTACAGTCCCCCCCCCCCTCCTTCTGTTCCCTTACCTCCTCTTTTTTTTGTTCAGAAAGGGACAGGCCTCCCATGGGTATCAAGTTGAGGTAGGTCTAAGCTCCTCCCCTTGTATTGAGGCTGAGCAAGGCAGCCCAGTATGAGGAATAGGTTCCCCAAAAGCCAGCCCAAGCATTAGGGACAGCCCCTGATCCTCTGCTAGGTCAACAAATAGTCCAAGCTACATAACTGTCACACGTATGTATGCAGAGGGCCTAGGTCGGTCCCATGCAGCTCTTGGTCCAGAGTCTGTGAGCTCCTATGAGCCTAGGTGAGTTGTTAGTTGTTTCTGTGGGTTCCCTTGTGATGACCTTGACCCCCCCCCCCCACTCGTACAGTCCTCTTTCCCTCCTCAACAGGATTCCTGGAGCTCGAAGGGGCAATGGATCTGATGACTCTGTGTATAAAACTTCTGACAGTTTGTGGGAAATAAGGAAAATGATGCTGCTGGCTGGTTGCTCCGAGCATCTCTGGATAAGTTGACAACAAAAAGAACGAGCTCCATGATCAAATGAACCAACGTTAGCCTCTCGGAAGATGGTGGAGGACAACGATGAACTCATTGATAAAACTGAGCAGCTCTAGATGCACATATTACAGTCTAGAGGTTTCTGAGTGTGTCCTGGAAGAGAATCTTCTCTCCAGCAGCCACAGAGCTCAAGTTGTGGGAAATCAAACAGGTGTCCTTATTATAAGGTTGACTGAATTACAGGGAAAATTTAAGTCCGAGGCTCAGAGGGTGTCAGTGGTTAAAGTAAGGGTAAAGTAAAGTTGGTAAAGAATGAGATCCTGTACCTTGGGAAGGAGATGTGTGAGAGGGCCCTCCTAAAGCTGAAAACTTTGAACCCTTGGATTCTCAAGGGTTTATCTCACCTGAGGAAGTAGTCTCTCACCCCCACCCTCACCTTTTTCTGCCTTTGACTGAGAGAATTAATCCTTCCTAGTCTGCCTGGAGACTTAGAACCAGATTTGAGGCAAAGCAGACTCCTGGAGGAAACGCGGTCCATGAGGAGGTGCGCTACATCACTAAGGAGCTCAATGTGTTTGCTAACTCCACCAAGTAGAAGTCTGGGGGAATATATGTGAGAAGGATTTTAAGAGTGTGGGATGCTGGTGATGTTGTGGGGCTCCAAGGGAAGACCATGCGGAAATGAGCCAATAGAAAGTCTTTATTCCAGCTAGCTGGTGCCTGCATCTCGGTACTCAGGACCTGAAAACAGGATCCATATTTAAGCAAGAAAAGTCATATACTAGCTGGAAAGTCCCCAAGGTTCCCTTCCCACAGCTGCAAGCTAAGCAAAGAGTACAAAAGTAAAAATATGAGATTAGCAAAAAATAATTAGGTCAGGACGACGGTTGCAAAGAGCCCATGTCCTTGAGATGTTTTTCTTCCCGGAATTGTTTTTCTTAGTCTCCCTTACAGTTACCGGCACTTTACTCAGTAAGACAAAGTTCATCCAAAATGCCAAAATGGAGTCACCACAGACAGCTTGCAGCCTGTGTCATAGGGGAAAGAACATAAACTGGATCAGGCTGAGTTTGTTGATGTAAAGATTCTGAGTAAAGATTCTAGGTTTAATATGGAGGGTCGCACAGTTTAAAAAAAAACATGTGTCAAAGTTTTGTTTTGATAAATACTGAAGCAGTTATCAAAAGATAGTCTACTTGAAAGGATTTGGAGATGCCTGATATCCCTTTGGTTTAGTGGCGATGAAGGGGTTTTAGAAAGGATTCTGATCATCTGTCTCTTCCATAAAGTATGTACTACTTAACTACTTCCTACTGTTCTTCAGGACAGCCATTATTCTGATCCCCAGTTGTAATGGTCAATATTGTCAATTTGACAGGATCTATACCCTTCTGAGAAAGAACCCCTGAGCATGCTTGTGGGGGAGTTTCTGGACCGAGTTCCTTGAGATGGAAGACTCACCCTATGTACCCATGGCACCATTCCGTGGGCTGGGTCTGAGACCCAGTTAAAAGGGCAAGGACAATGAACATCATAGTTTACGTCTCTCTGCTTCCTGAGTGCGGGTGCAGTGTGACAGTGGCCTCATGTCCCCACTGTCCCTCCGTCCCCACCACAAGGAACCATGCCCTTGTGAGCCCAAACAAACTCTTCCTTCGGCTGATTTTGCAGCAGGTACAAAAAAACACCAACGTGCCAATGCCGTCTCTCCTCCCCAGCAGGCCCTGATCATGTGGGTGGTCCCTGCATGTCTGTCTCGCTGTGGTTCAGCACACTGCTGTACCAAGGGATCCAGAAGCTGGGCGGCCTGGGAGTGCCAGGAACCTTCCATCCTCCCAACAGAGTCATTCTGCCTGCTGGCAAGCCCTTCAGAAGGCTACTAACCTCTGCCTGCCCCCACTCCCACCCCTCAGCTGGACTGCTCCAGGACAGACTGCCTCCCAAGCTATAACCTGAAGTAGCCTGCTGGGCTCCTATCCCAGCAATCGCTATGGTTGAGGACTCAGCAGTGTGGCTACCGGGCAATCCTATGCCCAACACAGCACACTGGCAGAGCGAACACTGGCCAGGTCTGTGTACCCACCACCTCTGTCGTTCTGTGACAGTACTGCTCAGCACAGCTGGGATCATCTTGCCACCTATTTAGAACCACATTTGCGTCTCTTTCCTGACTCTGTGTCCTCTTATCTGTCCCCTTTCCTACAGTTTGGCCATTGTTCTTTTTTATATATGACCCAGGACCCTGGCTTGCTGCAGTCTGTCAGCTGTTGCAGGCTGTGGTCATGGATGGAGCTGCTGTGAGCATCTTTGCAGAGCCACCTGTGTGGGTGCAGCTTTCACAGCTCCCCGCCATACGCCCAGTACCGTGACTTTTATCTGTTGTGTGTTCACCAACACACGGAACACACCCTTCTCCCAGTGGGGCTGCTATCACTAATCTGCCAGGGAGGCTAGACCAGAGCAGGGCAGACAGGGGTTCGACCCATCGGAACCCCGTGGGTCTGTGCGCAGGGTCCTTTAAGAGGTGACTCTGGTGCCAGTCTTTGGGGTGTTCTGAGGGTGGTCTTTGCTGTCACGGATGCCCATTACCAAGAAAGGACCTCTAAGTGTCAAATGCGACATCCCCGAACACATGTCTGTCTTCATGTTGAGACCAAAGGAGAGACTTTATTTGCCAAGAGTCTTCAGAAATCAGGTGAGGTCAGTTGGGATGCCTGGGTGTCTTACACCAATGGAGGAGGAGATGCAGAACAGAAGGCTACGTGAAGACAGAGGCAGAGAGTAGGGAGCTGCGACCACAGACGAACAGCAGGAAAATGATGGTGATGCCCAGTGCTGGCTTCGCAATACCTGGACTTCAGGTCTCTGGGATGTAAAGCTGCAGGACAGTAAATACCAAGTGCTACACTTTCCTAAGCACAGCATCCGCAGTAGTTTCTCAGGGCCAGGTTTCCTGCTCTACTCAGACACATCACGTAAGGCCCATTATAACCCTGATTCTGGGAATCTATCACACACAATCTTCTACAAAGAACTGTGTGCTGCTTGGCTTCTGTAGGACAACCCAGCAGCAGGCAGAGTGTGAGCTCTGAGACGCGCTGCTCAGGGCCACTCTGGGCTGAACCTCCCCCAGCCTCTGACAGTGACTCTGTGCTGCCCTGTCCGGCTACCAACACCTTGGGCTGCCGTGTCTTACACTCAGATCAAAATTCACGTACCGGAAGCTGACTAGCTCCTCTTTGGGACGTCGTAGCAGTCATCTGGGGAGACAAGGGGATGTCAGATGGCTTGCTGAGCCTCCCCTTGACTCCCCATCCCAATCCTCAGGTCGTCTGTGCCAGGCACACCAAGCTGCAATTCTGCCTTCTCTGGACCCTTTCTGGGCCAAAGCAGGGAGCCTACCTTGGTCTATCAAGTTGATGATATTTTGTGAATCCAGCCCATATTTTTTGCAGATGTTTTCAAATCTTTTCAGGCAAGTCTTCTCATAATTTGGGATGCGTCCTGGGGACAAATTTGGGACTTTGTTGGGGAGGGGTCCCAAGGCACCATTCCATCATGTGTCTAGGGCCCAAGGGAGACCCCCTACCAGTGGCTGGGATTCCCGAACAGACGGGGGTTGGGTTACCGTAGAGCGCCAGCACGTGGGTCTTGGTTCCATTCTTGATGTTCTCCATGTAGAAGATGACGTATATTCTGTAGTCAGTCTCTGAGAGCCGCACCCTGTTTTTCCCCTCATCTGCAGAGACAGAAGTCCTCACCCCCTTTTCCCCTGGCACTGGGGCAGCCCACCCCCACTTCTGGAGTGAGTGTCATGTGTATGTGTCTTCTGCTAAGCAGAAGTTTGGATGCCCAGTACTGGCGCAGGAGGAGGCTGTGGTATGGGAGTATGGGTGGCTGGGTATCATGGCTCCCATCTGTCTGTCTGAGGATGGGCCTTTGCGTGCCGTCTCCACAGGCCTCAGCATGGCCTTTGCCTCTCTGGGAGTTCCAGGCTGGTGATATCCAGAGAGAGGGCCAGGCTGGGGGCCCTTCAGTTCCCCTAGGCTGGGGTGCTCTTGCTTTAGGGTTTGGGGTGAGTGTTTAGCAGAGTGGGCAAGGCCTCAGCAGAAAAGCTTCCTGGCTGCCAGAGAAGGAGGAGCAGGGATTCCACTCACAATCAACGGTGAATTCCCCGTTGGTCTCTGTCTTTTCACAGACCATGGTCACAGCTACACATTCTCCTTGTACCCTGGGGGACAGAGAGGGGAGAGGCTCAGAGCAAGCACTGGTCCCTTCTCCCTGCCTGCATCATGGCAGGAGGCCACTGAGCCCCCAAGCCTAGTACTTTTGGCTTCCATAACCAGAAGGCGCAGAACATAGAAATAGGCCAGGGCACCCCTACCCCATCATGATGATCCCCAGGGAAGGGCTGGCGACCATTCACACACTGGCCCAGGCATACAGGTGTGTGAGTGTATGAAGTTCCCGTGCGGCACGGGAACACAGTCTCCCCTAGTTTCAGCTTGCGGGGAGGGGCGGTGGGCAACACGCACATAAAATGGAAGTCGAACTGCAGGCTGCCTTTCTTTAAGATACTGATGTTTCGGATGAAGAGCCTCAGGTCTCCGTTTTCTCTAATCCGCGTCATGTTATCTGAGGCCATGAAAAAAGAGTTCCAGGTCCCGGAAATCTGGAAGGAAAGATTGAGTGACGGGAGGCCTATCACAGCCCTGGGGCTGCTTGACCCCCATGGCCACCACGCTTCTGGGTGAGTCCCCGAACACTAGCTCCAAGCTGAGACCTCTTTTTGCCTTCCCAGCCCCGCCTCTGCCCTCATTCCTCTCAGGGTTCCTTCTGTACCCTCTGGCTGCCATCATGGCTGGGCTGGGAAGGGCTCCCATGGCACAGACACCCTGTTTCAAGGTCGAGCATCCCACCCAGTCAAGGGAAGGCAGGTACTCTTCATGAAGCCTAACCTAGCCCCATAGGGCTTGGCCCACCCTGGCCATGTTGTGGTTCCTCTGCACCGTGAAATCCTGGCTGAATTGCGCATTGGCAAGGCTGAGCACCAGGCCCAGCAGCAGCAGTAGGACCATGCTCTCCAGTGGACACCTTGGCCTGCACCTCACTCCCTTATGTCCCGTTCTGTTCTGTGGTTGACAGCGTCTGTGGACAGCCTGTCCACACACATCCTGTGTCCTGTTGGAAGGCCGCCAAAGACAGTCTCCCCCCTTCCCGCTCCCCAGTTAACTGTTCACACCCAAGAGCTAGCTGCAGAACCCACTTGAGGTGATGTGTGGTTGTTTCAGAAAGCGACAGGGGAAGCTAGGACGGGCAGCGTTTGGCCATCAGGTCCCTGGACCCAGGCCAGCCTGCTGAGACCATGGGAGACTCTGAGCCCTTGCTCTGTCTCTCTAAACTGGGGGAAGGAGCTCAGAACCTAAGTGTTTGAGTCCTGTCTCCACACCCTGTCTGACCTCATTCTTTACGTTTGAGTGAGTTTGGCTCCTCCCAAGCCATCTGCACGTCTTGCAGTACAGTCTACAGCAGAGCCGGCCACCTGGCCCCCATAGGATGCCATTGAATGCAGCCTGTGGTTCCAAAACTGCAAGAAAGAACATGAGTGAGGGAGTGCTGGTGAAGTCAGCCCCCGAGTGATTGTGGAGGGGTTCTGAGAGAGGACAATGTCCTGGACTTTGAGGGTACAGTGATTGAAGCACACACATCAAGGGTCAGACGCGCGATCCCGTCCTGGCTGGAGACTGGCCGTGGGAGGTGGTGGTGAGACACATCCTGAAATGTCTGCACAGCTCCCACAGCTGTGTCGCAGGACTCTGGAGCCCACTGCCTCCGGACACAGGTGCGTTGGTGGCAGCTGAGGGGAGGCTTTATTCCTTTGAAGAAATAAGGCTAAGCTTGGCTGCCAGGGCCGGAAGAGCTCAGCCCCCTTCAGGCCATCCAAAGGGCTGACACCCACCGACGGCCACTTCCCTACTTATGCGGTTCTGCCATCTATGTGCCTTTGGCTGATGTGGTTCTGAGATAAAGGGAGCCCACCTGTCCCCTGGTACCTGGCAGGTGTCAAGCATTAGAAACCATCATTGAAACCATACACAGTTAATGCCAATGCTAAGTTCTTTGACTTCTAATCTCCTTTTCTGTTGATCATTTTCCCTTAAATAGGGATGGGGCAACATAACACCAGTGCTGTTGACTTTTCCTTGCCCCCCCCCAGCTGTTCTGAACAAAAGAGCTGTGAGTCCAATAACCTTATATATTCCATATCATTGAGCCCTTCTTGCTTGAGCTCCCGAGCTTCAGCCTGACCCAGGACTGTCCCAAACTATTCGTGCAGGGCTTTTTCCTGTCATAAGCCTTGGGGGAACTCCGGGTGACTGCATGATCATTTCTACCCAGGTCAGAGATGCCCACATGCCCTGCTGGCCTCGCAGGACTGCTCGTGAGAGGTAGAGAAGAAGCAACGCTGTGATTGGTGCAAACACGAACTTTATTTGCATAACAAGTTTGCTTAGACCAGAAGGAAATGCCTGGTTTATATCTGGTTTGATGAACTAGACAGCACACAACCTAGCTAGACTCTGTAAAAGGAGCTGCGGGCTGTGTTCCTGCCGCCCCAGCTCCCGGCCGCCTGGCTAGCTTATGCCCCGAAATAATTACATGGAAACTATATTCTTTTAAACATTACCTGGCCCATTAGTTCCAATCTCTTATTGTCTAATTCTCACATCTTGATTAACCCATTTTTAATAATCTGTGTAGCCCCACAAGGTGTGGCTTATCAGAAAAGATCTTAACCTGCTTCTATGTCGGGTGGGAGAATCATGGTGACTGCCTGACTCGGCTTCTTTCTCCCAGCATTCTGTTCTGTTTACTCTACTTACCTAATTTTCTGTCCTATTAAAGGGCCAAGGCAGTTTCTTTATTAACCAATAAATTCAACACAAAACAAAAGACTGTCACATCAGCAAGACACACAACCTCCTTTGCTAGCTACCCTGGTATTGCAGCACTGGGCCCAATGTAAATTTTTCCTTGACTGTGATTTTTGTTGTGGTTTGTAAGCTTGTTTGAGCTAAGGTTTTGTGTAGCCAAAGATGACCACGAGTTCTTGATCATCTTGCCTCCATTTCCCCAAGTGATTTCAGGCATGTTCGGTTTGACTGGCCTTGACTATATTTGGTGTGGGCTGAGCTGGTCACACACACACACACACACACACACACACACGCACGCACGCACACACGCGCACACACAGAAGAAGCAGGAGAGACAATGGAGCGTCAGTGGCAGCGAGGGCGGCTGAGCAGTGGGCAGGCCCAGCTGCAGAACATCAGAGCCTCTGGCCGCATAGACACCTGCACAGCAGCCACGTGCATGAGGGAGAGCCAGCAGCCGCTGCTGCCCCCTTACTCAACAGCTGTGACAGTGGCCATAGTAACAGGAGGTCCCCAACTATTTGAGGGATCGGGCTGGTCAGAAATAAGAGAAGTAGAGGCAAAAAGAGGCTGGAGAGCAGAAGCTGGAGACAGAACGCTGTAAAAAGTCGGAGAGGAATTACCACAGGCCATGGGCACTTGAAGCGTTCCCAAGAGCTGTCAAGACTCCAGAGCCAAGGGCCTCAGACAGCCCATTGCTGAGAACTGAGGTATCCTTACTTTACAGGCTGAACAAAGCTATAATGCTAGGATAGAAGGGTCTGGCTACTTAAAGCCACCCAAGAGCCGTGACACTAGGGGGCGCCACCTGCTACTGCTCATATCTGACACTTGCGGTCTCTCACTGCTATTTAACAAGAAGAGAAACCAAAAACTGCCACGATTAGCCATTGAGGTATATGGGCAGAGTAAAAGGACCCCGGCCAGATGATTAACAAACAGGGCCAGAAGTTCTAGAAAAGGTGCCTCCTATGGCCCATCTTGAGGGAAAGAAGGCGAGTGAGACTGGGCCATGGTTTGTGGGCACCACTCTTCCCCATTTGCATAGCCATAGATGCTCAATGAGCACACAAAGCCCACATCCCACTCTGCAAGGCTCCCTGCCAAGCAAGCCCTGGTTTTCTGTCTGGAGGTGGAGCCGGGCACATTTCCTAGTCACGCAAGTTCCAGGGGGTCTTTCAGCAAAGGGCAAGAACTGTGCTTCAGGTGAGCAATATGGAAACATCTCAAGCTTCCTGGAAGAAATGTTCAAGCTTCCCTTCTAGGTCTCTGCAGCTGGGTCATGGAGCTCCCAGCTGTTGGTGGGCATAGGGAAGGTGTTTTGTGGTAGGGGAGCATCTAGGTGAGCCACTCCCTTTGTGTGGCCATGGAGGTTCCTCCATGGCCTCTGCCAGATGCTCTAGAGCACCCCCACTCATCTAACCCCACGGAGCACAGGCGTCCTGTGTCTGCTTTAGGCTGAAAGCACATAGGGGACAGGCAAAAAGTTGCATGCAGTAACAAGTATAGGCCCTGAAGGTGCCAGGGTGGTGTTGACATTTGCCAGGCAATGGATGACCCATGTTAGACATTCTAGAACTTTTTCTTGCTCTGTTCTATGCAGGCACAGCTATGGTCCTTATCCCCAAACCCTTTGGAGAAACTCTCAAGACTTAGAGTCGTCACGGCTCCATGTCAGCACAGGTAAAGTGCTGTTAAAAGATAATAAAATAGCGCATGGCAGAGCCAAGGGGCTTTTGTCTAGGCAGGGGAGATTGTCGTGTGTGTGTGTGTGTGTGTGTGTGTGTGTGTGTGTGTGTGTGATCACCGGCAGCTGGAAGTTACAGGTGGTTGTGAACTGCCTGGCATGTGTGCTGGGAATCACACACACGCTCTGGATGGGCAGCCAGCCAGTGCTCGTAGCCGTGGAGATGCTCTCAATCCCCATATGATGCATTCATTAATTCTTTCTCTAGCTGTTGAAGGAGAGCTAGAACCTTCCTAAGAAAACAAAATGACATGAATATAACTCGCCCAGCACCCTAAGAAATAGTTGGCATTGCTATTCGTGTTAGGAAGGCTTGAAGTGAAGGACCCACCTCCCAGGGGTCACAGGTAGTGCCCCCAAATCAACGACACAAGGAGGACATAATGCTGCTTTAAGAATCAGGAAGAAAGACAGACTGGGAGAGGTGGGGACAGAAATGTCTAGAAATTTTTCTCCAAATGACTCTAGACCCTGTTAAGTTGCCAGCATTGAACTCCACGAGCCCCGAGAACTGTGTAGAGGGGGAGATGTGCCCATGCTCTTGGGCAGGAGTGGCTCAAGGGCCTCTATAAGCAAATCTGCTCTCCAGACATAGGTCAAATGTCTTCTAGTTAGCATCCTTTGAGACCATGGCTCCCTGATGTTCTCTGAGAAATGGGGCAAACTTCTCAGTTTTGTTACTATAATGAAATACTTCAGGTAGGCTTGTTTCTTGCTAGCTTTTCTCAAATTATCCCAACTACCTTTTGCCTCTGGGTTTTTTCCTTTTCTTCTGTATATTTTACTTTCACTCTTACTCCATGGCTGGCTGGGTGGCTGGGTGGCTGGGTGACTGGGTGGCTGGGTGGCTGGGTGACTGGGTGGCTGGGTGACTGGGTGGCTGGGTGACTGGGTGGCTGGGTGACTGGGTGGGTGGCTGACCCCTGACATCCTCCTCCCTTTGTTCTCTTGTTGCTCCTCTTCTTACTTGTTTCTCTTTCTATTTATTCTCTCTGCCTGACAGCCCCATCTATCCTTGCTCCTGCCTCACAACTGACCATTCAGCTCTTTATTAGACCATCAGGTGTTTTAGATAGGCAAAGAATCACAGCTTCACAGAGTTAAACAAATGCAGCATAAACAAAAGCAACACACCTTAAAACAATAGTCTCCAACATGGTTCTGAAGGAGCAAGATCAAAGGGTCCTACCTGGGGATGGAGCTTCTGCTGGCAGAGTCCCGAGAGACAGGAGGGAAGAGTGTGTGTGCTGCTGAGTGACTACCAGGTCAAGACATAAATGAAGAAATTTAAAGACTTTCCTAGAATTCAATGAAAATGAATGTACAATATACCCAGACTTATGGGACACAAGGAAGGCATGCTAAGAGGAAAGAAAGTTGATAGCAGTGAGTG